GAACACAGAATGTTTTAAAATTAAGAAAGATTTGTGACAAGGTTGTATTCTTTCACCATACTTATTCAACCTATATGCTGAGCAAATAATCCAAGAAGCTGGGTTCTATGAAGGAAAACGTGGCATCAGGATTGGAGGAAGACTCACTAACAACCTGCAATATGCAGATGATACAACCTTGCTTGCTAAAAGTGAAGAGGACTTAAAACATTTACTGATGAAGATCAAAGAGCACAGCTTTTGGCATGTATTACATCTCAATGTTAAGAAAACAAAAATCCTCACCACTGGACCAATAAACAACATTCTTATCAATGGAGAAAAGATTGACGTTGTCAAGGACTTCATTCTTCTTTGATCAACTATCAACCTTCATGGAAGCAGCAGTCAAGAAATCAAATGACGTGTTGCATTGGGCAAATCAGCTGCACAAGACCTTTTTAAAGTGTTGAAGAGCAAAGATGTCAGCTTGAGGACTAAGGTGCACCTCACCCAAGCCATGGTATTTTCAATAACCTCATATGCATGTGAAAGCTGGACAGTGACTAAGGAAGACCATAGAAGAATTGATGCTTTTGAGTTATGGTGTTGGAGGAGAACATTGAAAGTGCCATGGGCTGCCAAAAGTACCAAAAGATCCATTTTTAAAGAAGTGCAACCAGAGTGCTCCTTAGAAGCCAAGATGACCACACTTCATCTCTCATGCTTTGGATATATTGTTAGGAGGGACCAGTCGCTGGAGAATGATATCATGTTTGGTAAGGTGGAGGGTCCGAGAAAAAGAGGAAGACCCCCAATGAGATGGATTGACCAATTGGAAGCATCGATGGACTCAAGCATGGCACCAGTAATGATGTTGGCCCAGGATTGGGCAGTGTTTCATTCTGCTGTGCATAAGGTTGCTATGGATCGGTACCAACTCGATGGCACCTAACAACAACAACACAATAATCAAGATAGTCTTTAAACACCTCAGGGTTTTAGCTAGTTTGCTGAATATTAGTTACTTCCTGAAATCCTTATTTCCATCTTGTTTTTACTATTTTTCCAGGGTTGATGATGGTGAAATTCTGAAACCCATGCTAATATACACTCTTGTCATTTTTATTTTTATGGTTCTCACCCTGAAATGAAGAGCTCTGGTAGTGTAGTGTCTGTGAATCAGACTGCTAACCTCAAGATCAGCAGTTCGAAACTACCAGTCATTCTGCAGAAGAAAGATGAAGCTTCTTACTCCTGTAAATAATTACAGCCTCAGTAAGTCTGTATAGGGTTGCTATGAGGCAGAACCGACATCATGGCACACCACCACCACCCTAAAATATTTTCTGTTCATGGGCCCCCAGACTCCACACCATTATTGTTGTTACTATTAGGGAAATTTGGGTAGGAGAAAGAATGAGGGTTATGGTTGGGACTTTGTCTTGTCTGGGCCTAGGTCTTCATTTATGGTTAGGACCTAGCTAGGGTTAGTGTTAAGGGTGAGGGTTGTGCTAAAGCTAGGAGTAAGGCTTGGCCTTGTTGTTAGGATTATAGTTAGGTTGATTACGTACTCATTTAATTATTTTTCTTGAAATCAACTTGATTTCCCTTTTATTTGAAGTTCTGTAACTGGATTATTCCCTCTTTTTACTTGTTGGTTTCCTGCTATTGTTCTTGCATGTATGTGTATCTCTGGCTCTGTCTTTTCAGTCTTATCAGTCTATGTCTGTATTGAAACTAGGTCATATTGTCATGTATATTAGTATCAGGTTGTTACTTGTTGGTGGTGGTTCTCTAGCCAAATAACTCCCCTTAATATGTTTTGTAAGATTGGTCTGCTTTTTACAAGTTCTTGTTTGTCTGAATATGATCTAATTTCAACATCATACTTGATGGACTGTTTTGCTGGATATATGATTCTTGGTTAGAACTTTTTTTTTCTTTCAGAGTTTTATATATGCTGTTCCACTCATTGTCCTTTTGAATACATGATTTCTTCTTATTAGTATTCCTTTGTAGGTAACTTTTTGTTTTTACTGAGATGCTGTCAGGATTCTTTCCTTGTATTTGGTTTTGAAAATTTTGATTATTATATATCTTGATATTCTTCTTTTAGGATCTATCCTTTCTTGAATTGGTTTAACTTTGTGAATGTCTTTTCACCTTTCATGATATTAGAGAAGTTTTCTTCCAACAACTCTTGGACAATATTCTCTGTGTTTTCATTGTTGGTAGTTTATTTTTCTCTTCCTGGCCTGGAATTCCTGTCATAAATTAGTTATTCCTCTTGATAGTGTCCCACATAAGTCTTAGGAGTTTGTTGTTGTTGTTGTTGTTGTCAGGTGCCATCGAGTCAGAACCGACTCATAGCGACCCCATGCACAGCAGAACGAAACAATGTCCGATCCTGAGCCA